ATGTATTATTTTTTTGATGTGTTGTTGAATTCTGTCGGCTAGGATTTTGTTGAGAATTTTTGCATCTATGTTCATGAGGGATTTGTTGTGGTTATTGCTAGGTGCCATTGAGTCAGTACTGACTCATAGCAACCCTATGCACAACAGAACAAAACATTGCCCAATCTTGGGCCAACCTCAATACTGTTGCTACTTTAGTCCATCGATGGTACCACTTGGCCAATCCATCTCGTTGGGGGTCTTCCTCTTTTTCTCTGACCCTCCACCTTATCAGACATGATATCCTTCTCCAGCGACTGGCCCCACCTGACAACATGTCCGAAGTATGAGAGACGAAGTTTGGCCATCCTGGACTCCAAGGAACACTCTGGCTGCACATCTTCTAAAACGGATCTATTGGTTCTTCTGGCATCCCAAGGCACTTTCAATATCCTCCTCCAACACCATAACTCAAAAGCATAAATTCTTCTACGGTCTTCCTTATTCACTGTCCAGCATTTGCATGCATATGAAGTTATTGAAAATACCATGGCTTGGGTCAGGTGCACCTTAGTCCTCAAGCTGACATCTTTGCTTATGAGAGATATTGGTCTACAATTTTCTTTCTTAGTGATGTCCTTCCTTGGTTTTGGTATGAGGGTTATGCTTGCTTCATAGAATGTATTAGGGAATTTTCCATCCTCTTCTATATTCTGGAATAATTTGAGTAGAATTGGTGACAGCTCTTCCCTGAATGTTTAGTAAAACTCACCAGTGAAGCCGTCTGGACCTGTACTTTTTTTTTGGTTGGGAGTGTTTTGATGACCTGGTCAATTTCCTCCTTTGTTATAGGTCTTTTCAAGTTTTCTACTTCACTCTGTGTAAGTTTAGGTTGGTCGTACTTTTCTAAAACTGTATCCATCTCCTCTAGATTTCCTAATTTGTTGGAGTACAACTCTTCATAGTATTCTGTTATTATCCTTTTTATTTCTGTTGATTCTGTTGTGATGTCACCTGTGTGGTTTCCTATGCTTGTTATTTGTATGTTTTCCCTCTCTTCTTTTGTTAGGTTTGTCAATTTTATTAATCTTCTCGAAGAACCGGATCCTTGTCATGTTGATTCTTTCTATAGTTTATCTGTTTTCTATCTCATTAATTTCTGCTCTAATGTTTATGATTTCTACTTTTTAATGTAGGTTTACTTTGCTGGTCTGTTTCTAGTTGTTTTAAATGTGTTGAAGTGTTGATTTGGGCTTTTTCTTCTTTTTGGATGTGTGCATTTATTGCAATATATTGTCCTCTCAGCACTTCTTTTGCCATGTCTTAAAGATTTTGATAAGTTGTGTTTTCATTTTCATTTGTTTCTAAGAACTTTGTGAATTCATGTTTTATTTCTCCTACTACCCAGGAGCTTTTCAGCAGGGTGTTATTCAGTTTCCATTTATTTGACTTTATTTCTTTGGTTTTCTTATTGTTGATTTTTATTTTATAGCACTGTGGTCTTAGAAGATGCTTTGTAGTATTTTGAGGCTTGTTTTTTGGCCTAACACATGGTCTGTTCTTGCGAATGTTCTATGTGCACTGGAAAAGAATTTGTTGTTGTTGGGCTGAATGTTCTGTTTGCCTCTATGAGGTCCAGTTGGCAGATTGTATTGTTTATTTCCTATGTGTCTTTGTCAGATTTCTTTCTGGTTGCTCTATCCTTTTTTGAAAATGGTATATTATAATTGCCCACTATTATTGTAGATTTGTCTATTCTTTCTTCAACTCTATTAGAATTTGCTTTATATATTTTGAAGCTCTTTCATTAGGAGCGTCGATATTTATTATGGTTATGTCATCTTGTTCAATTGACCCTTTAATCGTGAGATAATGTCCATCTTTATCTATTATGCTGGGTTTTGCCTTAAAGTTCATTTTATCAGAGATTAGTATTGCCACTCCTGCTTGTTTTTTTTATAGCAATTAGTTTGATATATTTTTTCCATCCTTTAACTTTTATTCTGCTTTTGTCTTTGTGTGTAAGGTTTGTCACTTGCAGACAGCATATTGAAGGATCTTTTTTTCTTATATATTCTGCCACTCTCCATCTTTTAACTGGTGCATTTAATTGGTTGACATTTGGTGTAATTATCGATAGGTATGAATTAATTGCTGGCATTGTGTTGTTTTTTGTTGTTGTGCTGCCAGTTTTTTTGTTCTGCATGCCTTTTTTTTAAAGTTTTTATTGTGAATTGTGTGTGTTTACATGGGAGAACATCAGCTTTACATTCATCCTGTTGTTTTTTATTTCATTGTAATGATTACAATCCCCTCCATTCATCATCAAATAAGCAAAGGGTACACCTCACAGGCCTGACCCCCGGCTGTCAGCACACAGCCCCTCTCCCTCCCTGAGTCCAGTGTCCCCAGCTGCTCCATCTGTCCATGTCATCATCTCTGTCTCCATTTCTGGTGTCACTGCTTCTCTGGGTAGAGTCCCGCACTCCACTCTTCTCACACTGCTGGCCACAAGGTCTCCACCCAACTTTACAGGAGTCTTTTGAATGTGGTTGGACTTAGCTCCCAACCTCATTGATGTTTTTCCCCCTCTTCCCCTTATCGGTGACCAACGTGTTCACCAGCCGGACCACATACCTGCTCGTGTATTCCCCTTGAGTCTTAGTCTTGGAGGGAAGTGTGCTCTGAGAGGACCCAACCACTTGCCTTGATGGCTTCCAGGTGAACAGCTTGCTTGTTCTTGTAGTAGACAATCAGACTGCCAGTACTGTTTATTATTTTTCCTGCCAGTCTTTGTTTCACAAAGTATCTGCTGTTCGTCTAGCCGCTCCAGACTGGTCTACTTGTCCTTTCAAGTGGAAAATATCCCACCTCAGATGATTCTGGATGGGGTTCAGGATTCCACCTATGGTCTTATGCAATGCAAAGGCTCCATAGGAAGCCTCTTTCACTGGGCGACTTCTAGCCCTCTTTAAGGTAAGACAGACTTACAAACTTTCTGTTGTGATGTTTCTGGCTATTCCTTTCTCTCCTCAAGTGTCTATTTTACAATGGTAGGCAAGGGAAACCAAGATTCAAAAGACAGCCAAGCATCTTAACATTATTCTCCTCTTTTACCCTTCAAACCATGCTTCAATCCCTGTATCCTGGAACCCTGTTGTTCCAAGACTGTGCATACCTCATCATTTATCTCTGTCCCACTTAGCCCATGCAAACCTGCCTAACTGTTCTCCCATCAGCCTCGTTCTTCCATTCTCTTCCCCATTCTTATGTATTGGGCCACCACCCCACCCCAAGCACCCAAGCTATCCTGTGTCTATTCCTTACCCTGTTTTCTATCTTCTATCTTCCCCTCCCTCCCTTCCCTCCTCTAATCCCATACCGCTTGGTGATCAGTATATATATATATTGTTGTGAAGTGCCATCAAGTCGGTTCTGATACATAGTGACCCTGTATAGGGTTTCCAAGGAGCAGCTGGTGAACTTAAACTGCCGACCTTGCAGTTCAAATGGCTTTTCAGTCTGGCGCATTAACCCACAACGCCACACCAGGAAAACAAAAATCCTCACCACTGGATCAATAAACAACATTCTTATCAACAGAGAAAAGATTGAAGTTGTCAAGGACTTCATTCTTGTTGGATCAACTATCAATACTCGTGGAAGCAGCAGTCAAGAGATCAGACGATGTATTGCATTGGGCAAATCTGCTGCACAGGAACTTTTTAAAGTGTTGAAGAGCAGAGATGTCAGCTTGAGGACTAAGGTGCACCTGACCCAAGCATGGTATTTTCAATAACCTCATATGGATGCGAAAGCTGGACAGTGAATAAGAAAGACCATAGAAGAATTGATGCCTTTGAGTTGTGGAGTTGGAGGAGAATAGTAAAAGTGCCATGGACTGCCAAAAGAACCAACAGATCTGTTTTGGAAGAAGTGTGGCCAGAGTGCTCCTTGGAGGCCAGGATGGCTAAGCTTTGTCTCTCATACTTTGGACATATTGTCAGGAGGGAACAGTCACTGGAGAAGCATGTCATGCTGGGTAAGTTGAAGGGTCAGAGAAAAAGAAGAAGACCCCAAAGAGATGGATCAGCCAGGTGGCATCATTGATGGCGTCAAGTGTGCCAACGGTAGTGAGGTTGGCCCAGGATTGGACATTGTTTCGTTCTGCTGTGCATGGGGTCACTATGAGTCGGTTCCAACTCGATGACACCTGACAACAACAACTGTATATATATATGTATGTATGTATGTATCTTTTTAGGGTGGGTTCTTTTTCTTAGTCTTTTACAATAATGGTCCTATGCAGAATTTCTCCTTTTATGACTGACTAAATTCACTCAGCATAATGTCCTCAAGGTTCATCCATGTTTTGCGTGACTTGCAGCTTCCTTGTTGTTCTTCAAGGTAGCATAGTATTCAATTGTGTGTTTACACCACAGTTTGTTTATCCATTCTTCAACTGATGGGCAGTTAGGCTGTCTCCATCTTTTTTACTGTTGTAAATAGTGCTGCTATGAACATTGATGAGTCCGCATGCCTTCTTGTGCTGAGTTTATGGTTTTTGTGTTCTTTCTTGTCAGTTTCTTCATAGTTTTAATGTTCCCATGCTCTTCTTGGACTTTTATTTTCTTGCTTTGTTGTGAAGTATTAATGATGACTTTATACTAGCCACTTAATCAAAACACTATGAGAACTATGTAGAAACTTTGCTGTTGTTAAGTGCTGTCTTATTGGTTCCAACCCACAGCGACTCTGTATAGGGTTTCTGAGGAGCAGCTGATGGGTTTGAACTGCCAACCTTGTAGTTCAAAGTCCAGCACTGATCCTACAGTACCACACCAGGAGTTTCTCTTTAGAAAGTAGAAAATCATCTAGAGAAAAACTAAGTAATCCAGTGATTTGATTATATTTTATTATTTCCTCTTAAAATATGTGAAGAATTTATAGAGCACTTTCTTAAATAATTAGCTCTGATTTCAAATGCTAAATGCAATGTAACATGTGTTCTCATTTTTCAGTTGTTTCAGATAAAATAACAACTCAAGGAACAAGTAGAACTATTTCAAAGCAAGTAAATTTGACAACTCCATCCCAAATTACTGGGCTAAAACCACAAAAGACTCTATATTCCTCTTCAGTGATGTCTAAAAGTATACCTGTGTTTGCATCTGATCATATAACTGTATCATATTCCAAAATGACTTCTCTACCTTTGGAATCTATGACTACATCAAAAAATGTTAAGCCATCTGTAGCTGAGACATCTACCATATCAGCAGATACTTTATCTACTTTAGTAGACATCACTCTGCCTACCAAGAGTACATCCATAATCACTATTATCAATTCAAAAAAAACAAGTAAATTCCCATCTTCAGAAAGGATGATGACATCAAAAATGGCTGAAGCCCTTACTTCTGAGACCTCTCATCAAACTACAGCTGCTGATTTTCTATACACATCTGAATTTACCAAGAATTCAGTTGCATCTAAAACTTCATCAACTAGATCTCAGTCTGCCATTATAAAGACAACATCTTTACTCTCATCTATTGAGTCAATGTCCATGTCTGCGACATCTTGGCCCAAACACAAATCCACGGATTTTGAGACACTCCCTATCTCCACAGCTGAACAGGTATTTCTTGCATCTTCATCTACTGGAACTTCTTCAGCTACAACTACTCACATTGGAACTGCCTCAGCATTCTCACCTGAGTCTGAGCTCATCTCCACAGTTGCTCCAGTTGACTCTCTATTGTCTAGAAATCAGACCATATCTACATTGGCAACAACTGACATGGAGACAGCATTTACAGTCCGTTCAGTGACTCTTCCAACTAGGCCTATTGAGACTACACCTGTCTTTAGAACATCTGAAACTGAATTGACATCTACAAATTTCCAAGATGTCTCTTCACCCAGTGCGGAGGATGCTATATCTACGTCCATGCCAAAAGAGACCTCTTCTATGTCCCTTTTATTCAAGACATCCTCTCCATTCACTGGAACTCAGACTGTACAGACAGTTAGTGATGATGAGACTACATTTAAAATTTTAACTCCTGGAATCACATTTGCAACTACAGTGACTGAAACCATCTTTCCTCCCACAATCACAAGGCCAGTATACACACAGAATCTGCCTACAGATGATAATACCTCACTTTATCTGAGTTCCGCTAGCTTAGCTTCCACAGTCAAGTCATCTGCGTCAGATCCCACAATAATATCTGAGACTGCTTGGACTTCCAGGCCAGACCAGAATGTTTTAACATCTATAAATACAAGCACCATACTTGCATTCATGCCTAATGAAAATTTCACATCATCTTCCCATGAGGGTACTTCTAATATGGAACATTCATTGACAACTAGTAATATTATCACTCCACCAGAAGAGAGTGAGGCTACAGGTGATATCACTGTTACAACCAGATATGCAACAGCTCTCTCCAAATTGACATCTCCCTGGTTTACTAATCCCTCCACATCTGTGCTCAAATCTGAGTTTCAAGTTACCACCTTGCTAAAAACTGCCCCTATGTCTACGGTAGCCACAAATGAACTTCTTTCAACACCAATGGAAACAGTTGTTCCTTCAGAAGACATAACATCTACCCTCGCTGACATAAAGTCAGATTTTTCTACTAAGGAATGCCTTACTAAGACCGAAACAAATAGTACAATTCCATTTGGAGAGACAACAGCCCTTGTTCCAACGTCTGTGACAACACAAATTTTCAATGCTACTGTGACAAGAAAAGAAACAACTTCCCATTTTCGTACGGGAAAATCAACTACAGCAGCGACACCTGAGATTTCTCCATTTTCAACAATGCTGGAGGCAACAGATGAAGCTACACAAATGTTGCCATCATTGATCACCATTTCTCCTTTTCCCAATATAGAAAAGATTACTACCTCAGTGGATAATAAAACTGCAACTACTGAGGTTAGAAGAAGTTGGTTTACGTCAGACTCTGTTAAAACTACACCTAAGAGTTTGAGTTCAAACAGTGGAACTACAGAAATCTTTAATTCCACTCACACCTACAGAGCACGTTGGACTTCAGAGACTTCACCTGAAGGGAATTCAGATTCATCTCCCACTTCTAAGCATACACAGATATTTCCTGAACTCCTGGATGTATCCACAAGGAGCCTTGGGACCATTTTCACCATTACTCCTACAGACAGGACAGCTATGTCCTTATCTGCTAGCACCTTACCTCCACAGTCTGCATCTACCATTTCCCCAACAACTCCTGGGCCTGTTACTCATATGATCTCACTTCCAGTTAGTGGCTCTGCTGTCACCTCTATGATGGTACACCAGTCTGATGAGACTAAGGTGACCATGCCTGAGCCTTCAACACTGGCTAGACCTTTCTCCACATCTACGCTCTCAGAAGTCTCAATTCTGCCATCAGCTATAGTGACCACAGCATCAATGACAACTTTGGACCAGATGGCTTCCACAACCAGCAGTACCATGCCTACCCACATAGACTCTATTCTTACCACTTCAGAGGCCACAGGGATCTCTGTCAGTATGACCCCAGTGACAGTTCCCTCTCTGACAGAAGCTCCAGTCCCCTCACTGAGAATTCCCACTCCTGTGACAACTAAGGCTGATACCACCTTCACTTCTTCCTTATCTGACACAGTAACTCCACCCACACATATTCTTACTTCTTCCACATCTCTCCCTGACAAACTTTCTGTGGTGTCCTCCACTCCTGTGTTCTCAACTGCATCTACACCAATAACAACCCAACCCACATCTCAAGTGGCACTGACTACAGGGCTGGAGACATCTACACATGCTCTGAGCTTTCCATATACTTTTAGTGGTGATGCAGATGTTCTTAGCTTGGTTACTGGCACCACAGAACCCTCTGTTGTTAATGAGACCAGGCCTGTACACACCTCTGCCAACAAGCTTACTACCTCAGTAGACATTCACAGCTCTCAATCTTCCACACATCTTGTAAACACACCTGTTCCCATCCTACTGATGACAGGCACTTCTACCATATCGTCTAACAAAGAACCGATGATCACCTCCTTGGGAAACACTTCTAGAACTATAGAAGCAACAGAAATGTCCTCATCTAAGAATTCTTTTATTTCATACTCCCAAGGAACTTCATCCTTGGAGATGACAGACATGGGATTTTCAGAAACCATAAAAATTTCCAGTCATCAAACACATTCACCTTCAGAGGTTTCACTCGAGACCCTGACTGAGGGAAATTCAGTTTCATCTGCAACTTCTGGAAGCACATCTACGACACCTACCTTGTCCTCAAATAACACAGTAGGTGCTCACAGTTTAGAAACATCTTCCAGTCTTGGGAAAACAGCTCTACCTTCACAAGCTTTGACAATCACTACTGTTGTGTCTCCTGAAAAAGAAAGCATGAGTGCCATTTCCGAACATACTCCTGGATCTGTGGAAATGACAGTAAGCTCCACCTCTGTGACTCACCCTGTCTCGTACCACCAGGATACTTCATTCATAGCCACTGCACCTTCTGGAACAACCAGATTATCAAATTCTATGAACATCAACGCAACTGCATCACAGGTTTCCCCATCTTTGACTAACTTTAACAGCACTCTTAGGCCCACAAGAAGTATGAAAGTTACTACTTACCTTTCTTCTAATACAGGAAAGATGACTTCCTTGTTAGAAAATACTTCCTTAACAGATGAACTAACAAAAAGTACCACATCTATGAATATTTCTATTTCACATCCTCAGTTGACCCCATCCATAGGAACCCCACTTTCTTTGACATCATTTCGTTATTTACCTCATAGTACTGAGTTCTCTACCACAAAGACATCTCCAGTTCCCATATCCCACAAGGTTGAATTTCCAGTTCTGGGAACAGTAATAACATCTAGTAACGCTCAGTCTTTGCTTAAGACTTCCTGGAACACACCCACAGCCATAGATTCTCAATTTCCCATTTCCATCGCTACTCATGTACCTACTCCCGTTAAAATGGAAACAGAAACTCTCCAATTTGTTCCAGAGTCTTTACCAACATTCACAACCTCTCTTGTATCTGAAGATGTTACTTCAAAGTCATCAATTTCCACATCTGGAATGCTTCCTACGTTTGGGCTCTCTGAGAGTCCTTTATTACCAACTTCTTCAAGAGCTATCTCTACTACCTTAACTGACATGAAGCACACATTTGAGAAGAAAGCCACATCTGTAACTGCTGGGATCACATTTCCATCGAAACCTTCTGGTGCTGCGGCAGATTCTATGATCACAAAGGCTACTACTTTACCCATGCAGACTTGGATCTCATCTAGTCTCCATTCAGGTTCCCCTCTTGCAACTGCACCCAAAGCCCCTCAAGTTATAACTTCATCTACAGTAGAGGGACCAAAATCCACATTTCTGACTTCTGACTTGACATCAACACATCCATTCACTAACTTTGCAACACTACCCGTTACTACTGTAGGCACCATACTCACTAAAACTACTCCCACACCTTCAATGACTAATATCACTATTGGCTTTCCAAATTCTCTTCCAATGTCTACAAAAACCACAGATGACAATATTCACATTTTCACATCCCCTGGAGCATTACCCAGAACCACTGTGATGGTCAACTCCAGAACTGTGTCTCAACTTCCTTCATTTAGCAGGATGAATATGTCACCTCTTACAACTGACCACACACTATCTATAGGTTCCATACCTCTGTCTAGCCATACTATAGCATCTTCATGGAGCACTATCCCTGCTGTATCAACATCCCCTACTTTAGTTCTTCCTAAGCCTACACTGGACCCCCTTCCAAATATAACCACTACTACAGTGTCATTTCCACTTACATCCACCGAAGTGACACATCTTTCTACAGCAGCAGTGTCTTCATTAATCTCTTCCTCTTTTGAGGCAACCAGGCTGGACTGCACACCTTCCTTTCGGACTATAGGAACAGTTACTTCAACTAGTGCTGCAAAGTCTACAGGTACTGTTTGACAGTGCGCCACTATGATGACAATGTCTTTGCCACTGTATTTAAATATTTTTCATATACCTAACAGAATGCATAAGAAGCTCTGGTAGCATAGTGGTTATGAATCTGGCTGCTAACCTCAAGGTCAGTAGTTCGAAACTACCAACTGTTCCACAGGAGAAAGATGATACTTTCTGCTCCTGTAAAGATTCACAGCCTCAGAAACCTTGTGCAAGGTCGATATGAGTCAGAACCGACTCCACGGTACTTAACAACAACAACAACAACAACAGAATGCATACACAATGGGTCATGAAGTTGCCCAGTTCTCTGAAGGAAGAAAAGGATAAAGAAGGGTGTAGTGGTGTTTTTTTCCATCTTTTTAAGACAGTGGTACAGTGGATATTTGGTCAAAACACAGACTTCGGGAAGCGTCTTTTTTATCTTCACTTTTTCCCCACAGTATAATGCAAATATATCTTTTCGCTTAAGATGACATTTCTAAGTTGCTTTTCCACCTGTTTTGTTCCCGAGTCCCTGACTCTGATTCTGACAGTGTGAACCTCACCCATCCACAATACGATTTTATGGTCTTGTTATTGTTGTGAAATGCCATTGAGTAGATTCTGACCAATAGCAACCCTGTATAGGGTTTCCAAGGAGCAGCTGGTGAGCTTGAACCACCGACCTTGCAGTTCAAATGACTTTGCAGTCTGATGCATTAGCCCACAACACCACACCAGAACTCCAAACCAAAACCTACAGTCCCTGGTACTCCCAGGTGGTTTCCCATCCAAGTACTAACCAGACCCGGCTCTGCTTAGCTTCTGAGTTCAGAAGATATTGGGTGCATTCAGGGTGGTGTGGTCCTATAGGTTCTTGTTGTTGTTGTTAAGTGCTGTTGAGTCGGTTCCGACCCATAGCAACCCTGTATAGGGTTTCTGAGGAGCAGCTGGTGAGCTTGAACTGCCAGCTTTGCAGTTCAAACAGCTTTGCAGTCTGGCACATTAACCCACAGTGCCACATCAATATTCCTTAGTAGGTTACTGGGACTTCCAATTATATTGTCCGTATCTCAGAAAATTCCAGAAAATATTAATTCCTGCCTCTATCAATGCCTTTTATATAGGTCTCAGTCTTCTCCATAAAAGCAACAGGGACATAGGAAGAGAAAAGCCTGAAGCAGAAAGGAAAGCATAGGAGAAAATAATTATTTTCTCAGTACAAATGATCTTGTGAGATAATATTCAACTTGGCCATTAAACGGTCTGGGAATCTGTTGGTCAATGAAAGTCAAGGATTTGGGGAGGTTTGTAGACTGTCCATGAACTCTGTAGAAAAAAGGAAGCTGCTGAAATAGAGCAAAAACTACATGGTAACCTCCTGTTTAACTTTTGGGTATAGAGCCCAAAGTGCTGGTTCTTGCTCTTGGAATTAACCAAAGATTAAGAATAACTATTCGGTTTGCTTTCAAATGGAAATCACTTCTGACCAAATTTGCAGAAAGTCAAATTTCTTCAACTAAACAAAAGGATGAAATTAATCTTCTTATTTTTAATTACAGTTTCCTTCTACAGTATTGAAATGAACTTTTCAGTCTTTGATGGAGAGTCAAGGATCCCTATTGCCAGTGCTATAAATGAGTTTGCAGAATATTGGGTAAAATAACTATTTGAATGTTTGTGCTACATGTAAATATATGTGAATGTGTACACATACCCATACACAGAAACACACACATGAGGGTAAGTTAAACAATATTGCTACTATGGTTCAACTTCATACATGCACAGGTTTGTTCCAAATAAGCATGTTTAAAAAGATTTCTGTAATCAGTTGATGACCGCAGACAAACTCTCTCATTTGTGTTAGTCTCACTAGGGTGCCTTAAAAAAAAATCCAGTCAAAACAGTGGCTTCTGAGGAGATCTGCTGAGCCAGTTAAATTCAAGGCAGAGAGGTCAGCTCAGAGTTTATGGCAACTGTGCTTTGAGATTCCAAAGGGGTAATCTGGATAGACTTTTTTCAAAGACACAAGACATTCATGGGAGCTTATTATGAAGATATTTAACAAAATTAAAAACTGCGTTGGTGATAAAAAGGCCAGGAAAGTTGCTCCAAGAATTTTTTTTCTCCCAACTATGGCAATACACGTGCTTATTCTTTAAGAGTAGCAAGGTTTAAATTCATTGTGAAACCTTATCCCATTCACCCTACAGCCCTGATCTTGCCCTGTCAGACCTTTGTTCTCCAAACTACAAGAACATTGAAAAGGGAGAGAATTTGAGTCCCTTACAGATGCTAAAACTGCAGTTTTGATGTGGTATAAATCAAAGACAACAGAATTATTTGAGGGAGGGGTTAGAGAGATTAAAACACTGACTTCAGAAGCATATAGACTTAGATGGAGGATATGTCTAGAATGTTGAACTGTGTTGGAAGGAGTGCAGCCAGAGTGCTCCTTGGAGGCCAGGGTGGCCAAACTTCACTTTTCATACTTCAGACATATTGTCAGTTGGTACCATTCGCTGGAGACGGATATCATGTTTGGTAAGGTGGTGAGGGTCAGAGAAAAAGAAGAAGACCCCCATCGAGATAGACTGGCCAAGTGGCACCATCTATGGGCTCAAGTGTGACAACAATTGTGAGGTTGGCCCAAGATCGGGCAGTGTTTCGTTCTGTTGGGCATAGGGTCGCTATGAGTCAGTACCGACTTGGTGGCACCTAACAACAACAACAAATGGGGTAAATATTAAATGATGGAAAAAGCATCAAAAGAAGATATAAGAAATACAAAGTCACTGTACCAAAAATGAATGGTTGATGTTCAACCATTTCAAGGGGGTAGCATAAGATCAAGAAACAGTGGTGCTTAAGGAAGAAGTTCAAGCTGCAATGAAGGCTTTGGTGAAAAACAAGGCTCCAGGAGTTGGTGAAATATAAATTGAAATCTTTTGATATAGCACTGGAGGCGCTCACTCATCTATGCCAAAAAATTTGGCAACTACCTGACCAACGGATTGGAAAAGGTCCATATTTATGCCCATCTAGTGAAAGGTGACCCAATGGAATGCAGAAATAATTGAACAATATAATTAATACCACATGCAAGTAAAATTTTGCTGAAGATACTTAAAAACAGCAGTACATCCATAGGGAGCTGCCAAAAATTCAAGCTAGATTCAGAAGAGGACACAGAACTAGGGATATCATTGCTGATGTTAGATGAATGTTGGCTGACAGCAGGGAATACCAGCAAAAATGTTTTCTTGTGTTTTATTGACTATGCAAAAGCTTTTGACTTTGTACATCATGACAAACTATGGATAACATTTTGAAGAACAGGTATTCCAGAACATTTAAGTGTTCTTGTCATTAACCTGTACATAGATCAAGAGGAAATCATTCTAACAGAACAAGGGAATACTGAATGGTTTAAAATCAGGAAGAGTGTGTGCCAGGGTGTGTGCCCTTTCACCATATTTACTCAATCTGTATGCTGAGCAAATAATTTTGAGAAGCTGGATTATATAATTAAGAATGTGACATCAAGATTGGAGGAAAACTCACTAACAACCTGCAATAAGCAGGTGATACAGCCTTGCTTGCTGGAAGCAAAGAGGATTTAAATACTTTACTGATGAATATCAAAGAAGAGAGCCTTTAGAATGGATTGCACCTCAATGTAAAGAAAACAAAAATTCTCATAACTGGACCAATAAAGAACTCACGATAAATGGAGAAAAGATTAAAGTTGTCAAAAGCTTCATTTTGCTTGGATCCACAATCAACACTCATGGAAGAAGCAATCAAGGAATCAAATGACTTATTGAATTAGGCAGATCTGGGTACGAGACTTTTTTATAGTGTTCAAGAGCAAAGATGTCAGTTTGAGGACTAAGGTGTGTCTGACCCAAGCTATGGTACTTTCAATTGCCTCATATGCATGTGAAATTGTACAGTGAATAAAGAAAACCACAGAAGGATTGATGCATTTGAGTTATGGTGTTGGCGAAGAATATTGAAAGTACCATGGACTGCCAGAAGAACATACAAATCTGTTTTGGTAGAAGTATAGCATTCTGTTCCTTAGAAGCTAGGATGGTAAGATTTCATCTCTCATACTTTGGACATGCTATCAAGACGGAGCAGTCCTTGGAGAAGGACATCACGAAGTGCCTCAATGGTGTAGATTGGCACACTGGCAACAACAACATTGTGAGGATGACACAGAACAGGACAGTGTTTCTGTCTGTTATGCATAGGGTCCCTGTAAGTCAGAAGCGACAGCATCTGACAACAACAGTAACAACCCGCAATCTATTTCATAACTATTGTTTTTTCCTACACATTTACCCTGTTAATAGCATCGTGAGGGCATATGCAGTTTCTATTCCATAGTATCAGTGTTGAAAGTCTTTATGGCATGTTATTTTAATTTGCTTAGATCTGTACATTTCTCTACAGTAGCACAAATTCTGCAAGTCTTTGCCAAATTTTACTATTTTGGGAAAGTGGGAGAGCAGTGATCACAAAGTCTAGGACACTGTATTTAAATATTTTTGTTTCTTGTGGTTTAATTTTTTCTCTTTCTCCACTGTAATGAATGTTTCATTTATCCTTATTTTTTTCGTTTAAGAATAATAATACATATTCTTTGTATTAAAAAAAAAAGAAATCAAACCTTGACACCTGAAACCCAGGAAGTGAATCTCTTTTATAATACTTCTTCTTACATTGTTGTTGTTGTTAAGTACCATGGAGTTGGTTCCAACTCATAGCAACCCTATATAGGGTTTCTGAGGAGTGGCTGGTGAGCTTGAACTGCCAACCTTGCGGTTCAAACTGATCTTGCAGTCCAGTGCATTAATCCGCAGCACCACACCAGGACTCCATTTATTACTTTAACTCCTAACAATTTAAGATCTATTCTTTCAGTATTTTTTCTGTACCTATAACAGCCCCAACGCATGTACTCCTTGAAAAAAACAGGTGGAATCATACTAATTATGCTATTACAAAGCTTGCTTTTTGTCTATTTAATCATTATGTATTTGCGTCTATTCATGTGAGTAATACAGATCTCCCTCATATACTTGAAGAGCTGCATAGGGCTTCACTTTGTTACTATGTGCTGCATGAACATTTTGTATTTTAACAGCTATAGCCAAATTGCCTTCCAGATTTATAGTTTACTAATTTGTGCCCCCACTAACATGAACTGATACTGTCTGTTTTCCCACTATCCCTATCAGCATTTATTTTGAAGTGTATATAACATGATTATAGCCCTTGAAAATGGGTGGGGGAAATGTAAATTGAAAAACCGAATAATGAGTGCAGACTAATGAGTACATCATCCCAGGTGACTTTGCTGATTGCTGGGTTAAGAGAGAGGATCGGGAATATTAAAACTGATTTGTGTGTGTGTGTGTCTTTTACAGTTGAATTCGATATTTCAAGACAGTGAATTTGCTCTTGATAAACTGGCTACTCAAATTAAGAGCAGGTATGTTATCTACAATAAGGCAGTTGGGGGCAGTTTGGGTCCATTCATATCCAAAGAGAATCCCCTTTGTTTGTGTCTGAGCCTTGGGGACTGCTGCATATTTAGTCACATCTTCCCTTCTGAATGTAAATCCTTTGTGGAATGAAGAAGAAATTTGCATGAGTACTATGAGGTACTGAGTCACTGGGAGAGCAAAATAGAAGAAAGTAAATAGGGAAAACAGTGGCATTAGACCTAGTTACCTCTAATGCCCCCTTTGGCTCTAAAATTCTATGATGTGGTTTTTTTATGTTTTTTTTTTGGTTTAAAATCACGTTTTAAAGGGCTGAAAGGTGAGGATGCCCAATGCACAAAGATTTATAAGGCCTTTTATTTCAGAACAATGCACTTTCAAGAATTACAAATTCCAAAGGGAACATGAAATGTTTAAAGTGAGGAATGTTGAGTGATTCAAGACTCATTCAAGCCCAAATTTAGAAAAGTGATTGCAGTGAAGTCCATAGGCTTTGATTAATATCAAGGAAACCATGGCAAAGGCAATTGGTAATCTGGGAAATATTTCCTCTGCTCTTGCCTTGCAACAGTGAGAACTGTTAAAGGAACGACAAGAACCAGCTCTTAGAAAAACAGGCATGGCTCTGTATGCCGTGATAAACTGATTTTTAAGATACTACATGTAATTGTGCTGGAAGTCTTAGCAGGAGCTATATGGCAAGACAGGGAAATTAAAGGCATCCAAATTGGCAAAGAGGAAGTAAAACTCTCCCTATTTGCAGACAATATGATCCTATACATAGAAAACCCCAAAG